CCCCCCCCCCCCCCCCCCCCCCTTGCGCCGAAGAAGCTGCACCCGCTGCTGCTGCGGTACGGCGCCGGCGTGGGCGACGTGCTGCTGCTGCTGCCGCTGGGCCCGGGCCGCCTGCGTGCCACGCTGCTCAAGGCGACCACGGAGGTGGGTGGGCTGATTGGCGGGCACGGCCGGCGCCCCGCCGAGGGCAGCCGTTCCTGCTGCTGTCGAAACAGTGTTGTGGGTGGGGGAGCACTGGCTGGCAGGCTGCTATGTGCCGGGCACTCACCACGCTGCCTCCTGTGTGTGTGTGCAGGAGGCACGTGCTGTGCACGACGCGCTGGGCTTTGATGTGCCAGGCGAGCAGCAGGCGTGGCGCAGCAAGCACGCCGCCGCCGCCCACGCGCGGCAGCCCGGCAGGACGATGACGCGGCAGCGCCTGCAGCAGCAGCAGAGCGCGCCGCCGCCCGGCACCGCGGCCGCCGCCGCCGCCCCAGCGGCAGGAGCTGGTGCCCCTCTGAAGGCGGCATCCATTCCAACCCCGGCACAGGTGGCAGAGTATGAGGTTGCCGCCGCTGTGGCCGCCGCCGCCTTCCGGGAGGCCACCGGCAGCGAGGCGGCGCCTCAGGCGGCGGCGGCCGCCGCCCGTGCCGCGGCCGCCGTGGCGGCAGCCTATCACGAGTCTGCCGCGCAGCACGCGGCCAGGGCGGCCGCCGCTGCGGCCAGGGCGGTGCGTGAGCGGGAGAGTGAGCAGGAGGCTGCTGCGGGGGCTGTTGAGGAGATGATGCCTCACCACAAGCGGCCCAAGTGGGAGCACCCGGGCGCAGAGGGCGGCGCCCCCAGCAGCAGGCCAGCCAGCCCTGGTGCAGCAGCAGCAGCAGCAGCAGCAGCAGCAGCGGAGGAGGCGCACCGGCATGCAGTCGGGCTGCAGGCTCTCTTGAAGAGTTCCAAAGCGGCCCAGGCCCAGGCCCAGCAGCAGCAGCAGCAGCAGACGCAGGCTGAGCAGCCCCAGCAGGCATCCCAGCAGCCGCCCCTGCAGCCGTCCCAGCAGGAGCAGCAGGCGGCCGCCGTGCAGCAGTGGCAGCAGCTGCAGCGGATTGCGGTCATGAAGCACATGCAGCAGCAGCAGCAGCGGCTGGAGCAGCTGCCGCCGCATCAGCGCCTGCAGCAGCTGGTGCTGCTGAAGCAGATGCAGGACATGCAGCAGGCCCAGCAGGCCCAGCAGGCCCAGCAAGCCCAGCAGGCGCAGCAGGCCCTGCAAGCGCAGCAGGCAAGGGCCGAGCAGGCGGCCGGCAAGGCTGGCGGTGGCGACGCCAGCCACAGCCCCACGCCTGGTGGCGGCAAGGAGGCAGCTGCGCCTGGAGTGGGCGCTGCTGCCGCCCCTGCCGCTGGCGAGGAGCCCAAATCGCCGCTGCCTGACAAGCCAGCAGAGGGAGCCGGCGGGAGCGGCCATGCGGAGGCGGCGCCAGCAGCGGCGCCCGCGCCTGCTCCACCCGTGCCTATGCTGGCGCCAAGTACGGGGCCTGTGGTGGTGCCTGCCGGCGTGATACCGCCTGGCATGGTACCCGCCCGAGTCATGTTCCAGGGTCGTCCTGCCATTATGATGGTACCGCAGCATGCCCAGCAGCTGATGCCGGCGCAGCTGCAGCAGCAGCAGCAGCCCCAGCAGCAGCAGCCGCAGCATGTGCAGACGCTTCAGCAGCAGCAGCCGCAGCAGGTGCAAACACTTCAGCAGCAGCAGCAGCAGCAGCAGCAGCAGATGCTGCTGGCAGCGCATGCAATGCGGCATGCGCACGCCCTGCAGCGTGCGCAGCTGACAGAAGCGCTGCTGCGGCAGCAGGCCCCCCAAGCCGCGGCCGCACAAGCGCAGGGTTCGGCGGCACAGCAGCAGGCGGCGCAGGCTCAGCCGCCTGTCGTGGAGGAGGCCAGGGAGGGGGCCGCTGCGCGCCGGCTGGGAGCAGCCACCGCCGCCGGCCCAACACCCTCGCCCACCATGTCTCCTGCCGGCTCGGGCGGGCCTGCCGGCGCGTCGGCGGCGCAGGCCGCGGCTCGCGCGGCGGCCGTGTCTGCGCCCTCCATCTCCTTTGTGCGCCCGCTGCTCATCAAGTCCACATCCACGTCCGCCGTCACGGCTGCCGGCGCCAGGCCGGGCCCCACCACCGTCACCACGCTGCCCATCGGCGCGCAGTCGCTGCCCACGCCGCGGCTGGCGCAGACCGTGGCGCAGCAGGCGGCGCAGCAGCAGCGCCTGGAGCTGCTGATCGAGGTGTCCAATGCCACGGCCGCAGCCAAGGCCGCATCACCCGGGCCGGTGCTGGTGGCGGCGGCGGCGGCGGGGGCGGCAGCAGCGCGGGCCGCCTCGCCAGCGCCAGGCGCCGCAGGCGCGCCCTCGCCTGCGCCGCACGACGCACACCAGGCCGGCACGCCCGACCGGCAGGCCACGCCCGGCGGCACAACTGTGGTGGTCAGCGCTGCGCCGTTCAAGCCTCTGCTGATTCGCAGCACACCTATGGCGCCCGGGGACGCGGCCCAGCAGCAGCAGCAGCAGCAGCAGCAGCAGCTCAACGGAAAGACGGGTGCAGAGGAGCCGTCGCCGCAGCAGCTTGTCAAGTACCAGAGCGCCCCTCCGTCGGGCTCGGCGGCAGCACAGGGAGCGGCGGCTTCGGCACAGGGCCCCCTCGGCGCCAGTGCCTCGGCCCCAGCGCACTTGCAAATGGCAGCCTTGCACACAGCCATGTCGGCGGCAATCGCAGCACAGGCGGCGGCAGCGGCGCCTGCCCAGCAGGGCGCAGCTGCGGGGGCGCCTGCCGATGCCGGCAAGCAGCCCGAGCAAGCAGGCAAGCCGCCCGCGCCTGCCGCCCAACCCGGGCCAGCCCCAAACCCCGCCGGCGAAAGCCTGGCGCGCATGCAGCGCAGCATGCAGCAGTTTGGGGCGGTGGTGGCTGCCAAGCTGGCCGGCCAGTCTGGGGAGCAGCGGGAGGCGGCGCAGCTGGGGGAGCGCCTGGCTGTGCTGGCGTCACGCATCGATGGCCTGCTGGGAGACTTCTGGAGAGCGGGGCGCTGAGGTGGCAGCGGTGGCACCCATGGCCGCCCCCTCATACATCGCGACATGCAGCTCACGCTTTTCGATAGCATAGCATCCAACAATGCGTTTATGTGCAACCTTTATTGATTCTATAACACAGTGCAAATTTAAACGGAGCGCCCACCGGCTGATCCAAGTCAGCACGCCCAGTCGCCTCTTCACCTGCGGCAGATGCCGCCATCGGTATGTCGGTAGCTCGGGTAGGGCGGGATTGTGATGGCCGTGCTATTGCCTGTGCTGCCTGCCCCCGCAGCCACACATCCAACAAGCAATCAGGGGTGGCCAGGGCAGGGACAAGCAATTAGGGGTGGGCAGGCAGGAGCCCAGCGGGCGGGCGGGTGACGCGTCGGGGTCAAGGGGTGCTGTATTACTGCAATCAATCTTCCTCTTGGTGTTTCCCACTCCCTGCACTACCAATTATCTCTTCCTATATCATCATAGCGCCTCTGCAAACCAGGTCGCGCTACACGGCGCCGCCACCGAGGCGCCAGCCCAAGGCTGCTGGTGACATCACCAGCCGGAACCGGGCTTCGTCCCTCCTTCTTGTTCAGCCCTACTGTCGTTCAAGTGTTGAGGATGGAGTCAGGGGCCTGCTTCTAGCACAAATGTCCTCGGCAGTGCCGCCTAGCAGGCTCTCCAGGAGCACACAGTTTCAGCACGGCGTGACCGAGGCGGCCCGGGGCGGCATGTACATCGCCGCGCTGCGCCTGCACAAGCCCGGCGATGAGAAGACGGTCATTGTGGAACACTTGGGCGCGACCCACCCGAACCCCTGGCTTGCTGCGGTGGTGCACGATGCGGCTCTGTGCAAGCGGGCCTTCGATCTAGGGAAGCTGCAGAGCCTCCAGCATGGGCCGGCTCCCGAAAGCAACGCGGCGGCAACAGGTGAGCCCCCCCGCTGTGCAGTTTGCAGCTTGTTGAATGCACAGAATTGCTGTGTCGGCAACCTGGGCCGTGTGGTGCTATAGATGTTTCTGGCCTTCCGTTTCGCCAAACCCTCCCGCTGCCTTGGCATTCGCTCAGCCCCGCATCCTGCTGCCGCCACCCGTCCCTGCCCCGCCTGCAGAGCGGCTGAACTTCCCTCTGAGCGCCTACACGTCCCAGCAGGCGTTTTGGGATGCACTGGAGGGCAGCAGCTTTGGGCAGCTGTCACTGCAGCTGCAGGCCAACAACAGGCTAGAAAAGGTGGGCCTGCCTGGCCCCTGTCTCGTGGACGCAGCTGGCTGGCTGGCTGGCAGAGTGAATCCAGCAGCCTGCTCATACTATTGCTGCCTGCCCTGCCCTGCGCCTGGCGCAGACGCTGTTCTTTGGCGACACGTGGAGGGATGGCTTGGCAGAGGAGCGGCTGGCAGAGGAGCGGCGCCGCCGGGAGCAGCAGCATCAGCAGCAGCACAAGCGGGAGCCGGCCGCTGGCGCCGCCCCACGCAATGGCAGCAGCAGGGAGTGGGAGCGCAGGCGTGAGCAGCAGGCCGCTGCACAGCCAGCTGGGGCTGCCAAGCCAGAGCAGGATCCTGGGGCGAAGCGGCGGCGGCTGTCGCCGCCCGCTGAGGAGGAGCGGCAGCGGGGGCAGCAGGGGCCAGCCTCCAAGAGCCAGCAGCAGATGCAGCAGCCCCAGCCTAGCGCAGGCATTGGTCTTGCCGGTAATGGCAAGCTGAAGCAGGATGTGCCTGCTGCCAAGGGCGCCGCAGCAGCGCCATTGCCCCAAGCAGCACGGGACAGGCGCGAGGAGACAGCAGCAGCAGCCCCGGCAGAAGCACCAGCGCCCCCACCGGCCGCCGCAGTAGCAGCACCCCACACCGACAGCACAAGCAGCAGCGAGCCGATATTGGCGCAACGTGCCGGCAAGTTGCCAGTAGTTGTGGACCTGATCGGCAGCAGTGGCAGCGAGGGCGAGCCGAGCATGGGACGAGGCGGCGCAGGGCCGGCGCCACCAGCAGCCAACAGAGCCGCAGCGGGTGCCACACCAAGCGCGGCGCAGCAGATGCAGCAGGCACAGCAGCCGCAGCAGCGCCCGGCACAGGAGCCGCGTAACGTGTGGATAGGCAGCGATGCAGAGTTCCCGCCAGGCAAGGCGCAGGGCTGGCCCGCTGCACGCAGGCTGGCGACGTCACTGCACCCCTTGCCCAGCTTACCAGACGCCGGCCTCATGCCCATGCATGTCGCCCCTGTGTGTGTGTGCAGGCAGCGGTACATTTCCCATGTACCTCAAGGCGGGACCGCTGGATAAGAGTTATTACACAATATCAAGTGAGCCCTGGGCCCCATTCACTTGTTTGGGGCTGCCTCACCTGCCTGCGGCTGCTGCGCCACGCCGTGCGGTGCGGCGTGCTGCGTGCGGCGTGCTGTGGCGCCAGCCGGGTGCGCGTCCTGGCCGGCCTGTGCCACAATGCCCCTGAACCCACGTGCCTGGCTGAGCTGCTGCTGCTGCTGCCTGGCTGAGCGCAGAGAGCGCGGGCACCGCGCTGTTTGCGGCTGGGTATGAGGGGGACGTGGAGCTGCGGGATGCCGCCAGCGGCCGCACATGGACGGTGCACACCAAGTGAGCGAGTGAGCAGTTCTACCCGCGCCCAGCGGGTTTGAGACCCTGGCTGCATCTGGCGGCGCAGCCTGGCAGATGCGTCGGCGTGGAACTCTTGCCCGCTTTCACGCCAGCTGTGCAGCGGTGCCCCGCCACCCACCCGGCCCACCCTGCACCACCTTTGCCGCAGCCTGAAGGAAGGGCGGCAGCGGTACATCACCAAGGTCTCCGTCTTCAACCGAGACAACGCCTGCGCTGCGCACGACGTGCTGTGGTTCCAGGCAGGGCCACCCGCAGCGCAGCAGCAGAAGCCGTGCGTGCTGTTTGGCATCTGGCGCTGGGGATCCCAGGTGAGGGGGAATGGGAGGGGCCAGTTTGTGGGCGAGCGGAATGAGCAGGTGGCAACACATCGCTGGGTGCGGGAGGGGTGTTGTAGGTGCCGAGCAAAACATGGCTGTGTGCTCTGTACTGCCTGCTTGGCTGCGCCCTGCAGGAAGCGGCGGCTTTTGCAGCCAAGCTGAATACTGGCACCAAGGCGGCTGCCAAGGCCCCTGCCAAGGCTGTTGCTGCTGGCAAGAAGCCCACCAGGGCACCGCAGCCGCAGCAGCCGCAGCTGGGGGATGAGGAGATGGCCGGTGGGCAGAGCAGCGACAGCGAGGGTGTGGTGTTAGCCCAGCGCCCAGCAGCCACTCCGCATGGCACCAAGAAGCGCCGAGTGGTGGGGGACAGCGAGGATGAGGAGGATGTGCCGCTGTCTGTGCTGCTCGCCGCCAAGAAGCAGCAGTGAGGCAGCGCCAGCAGAGGGAGCGGCGGCAGGGAGGGTGTGCCGGCCAGCCCCTCGTCGGCCAGACGAACCGCACAGGCAGTTGCAGAGCTGCTGGAGGAGAGTGTCGAAGAAGAGACGTGAGGCTGTAGAGGCACCCACTGTAGAGGTTGCTGCTCCCTCCCTAGGAGGCCGGTGTTCTGTCCTGCTCTCCCCATGCCCTGCCTGGCTGATGTTCTGAGAGTGGTTTGTCTGTGTGGTTGCCTGCGCTCTGTGTCTTGCCACTCAAGAATAATGAAGTGAACAGCTGCACTGTGAAGAGGGCTCCTCTAGAGGGGTGCAAGGCGCCGGCGGGAAGTTGCGGCACGACATGCATGCTGGGTGCGCTACTTCCCGAACCACGGAAGCCGCCTGGCTCTGGCATTCCTCTGCTCTCCACCGTACTTCAGCGTGCGCTTCCAGCGCGGTGAGCCACTGTCCGCTCGTCTGGGCACCAGTGGCTGCCGCCGCGTCCAGGGCAACTCTCGCCTCAACCTTCCTGTTCGGTCGTTGGTCAATCTCAATTGGCAATTTACACGCTGTACCCCTTTTACTGGTGGGGTTCGATCAAAGAAGCACAGTAGCGAGTCACCCACACCCTGAGCGACCCATGGCGTTGCTGGGCCTCCTCCTGTTGACGCTGATATACTTGAGAGGCGCCCAGGGTGCGCAAATCAATGGCACCGGGCCGCCGTGTCGGAGGCTGTAAGAGGCGCCGCATGCCCCGGCGCCGCATCACCCCAAGGCGCTGTAGACGACCCCCAGGCGCAACTGACCACCATCGACTGGATTTCTGCAGGGGATACGCCCAACTTGGTGCTGTTTTCAGTGGATGATGAAATCGTGAGCGAGGCATGGCAAGCCGCGTATTACGACACGATCCAGAGCTCAGGCATCAGCAACCCAAATGGCTGCAAGCCGCCGATCACTTGGTGAGGCGCTCAACATGCATATGCAAATGCAGACCGGCGGGCAACGGTGCGCTGCCGCATGTCGAGCGGGGTCGCAATACCTGCTGCTGCTTCTGCTGCTTGGCGTTGTTGCACCTGCAGGTTCACGAGCAAGGGGCCCGACAGGGGCGACTGCGACACGGCGCTGCTCGCATACAGTGCTGGGCATGAGCTGGCCACGCATACGGTGACCCATCCCGAGCTGCCAGGGCTGTCTTACGATGAGATCACTGCAGAGGTTGCTGGGCAGCGCGAATGGTTGATTGACTGCGGCATCCCGGCAGAAGCCATCACCGGCTTCCGTGCGCCATACTACAAAACGGATGACACGGTCACGCAGGTGGGTGAGGGGCCTGCCACAGGGCTCGTTGCCTGCAGCGAGTGCTGTAGAAGATTGGCGCTGCAATGAGCGCTGCAGTGCTGCAGTGCTCAATCGCTCCCCACCTAGCTGCTCAATCAGAACGCGTTTTTGATGTTACTTAACATTCAGGTGCTAATTGATTTGGGCGTCCAGTATGACAGCAGCAAGGCTGACGACAGCCCCACCCAGCAAGCTTACTCCACTGGCTCCCTCTGGTGATACTGGATGCCGGCGGTGATTGTTTCCCACTCTTTAAAGAGAATGCCTCCTGCCTTTTTCAATCATCTGCTTCCCTGCATGCACGTCCCTGTTTGGCCTGCAGGGAGGTCCCTGCATACACTCTGCCTGGTGGTGACAGACGTTCTGACCCGCAGCCTGAAGATGGCATGTCTGTGCTGGAGGTGGGTTGGGAAGCGGGAGGGGCAGCATAGGGTTGAGCAAGATTTTGGGGACGCAGACCTCACTTGCACGCGCCCCAGCAACCCTGCCAAGAAAGCGTGGCAGTGCAATAATCTGCATTGCAATCATTGCGGGCAAAACAGTGGCACACTTGCTGACCCGCTCCACAGAGGCTGCAAGCCGCCTTTGAGAGCAAGCGCGGCTCCGGGGCGCCCGTCTCCATCCTTGTGCATGAGCCATGTAAGCTGTGTGCACGTAGTGCGCCCCTTGTCGTCGTGGTGAAGGTTGGTCAGGCAGCCCCCCCCCCACCCCCACCCCCCACCCCAGCTGGCACTGAGCCAAAGCAATCTACATTCCTCCTGTTGTATGCAGATCTCAGCGACAGGTAGTGTGCTTTGGCTGTGTGTCCTCCGACTGCCTGGTTTCTACTGAAACAGCGTTCGACTGGGTGCCGGCTAGCCATGGCCTGCTCCTGCACCCTGCGCCGCCGTGCACCGTCTTCTGCCACTAATGTGCCCTATTGACCCCTCCCAATCGCAGCTCCAACCGCGATGACATTGTGGCTTTCCTGTCTTGGGCATTTGCACAGGATAACACATGGGGCATCACGTATCAGCAGTACATCTCCTGGTTGGAGGCAGGCGCAGGCGATGTGAGCCAGCAGGCTTCAGCTTGTGCTTGCACCTTACTGCTGTCACCGCCACGAGTTGTGATCATTGCTTTCATCCTTTCTTCTCTCCTTGCAGATTGCCAGCGTGCTGTCCAACTACACCTGCGGCAGCTGACCACTTGGGAAGCCCTGGGATGCCAAGGACACAAGGCATCTCCCCAACGCCTCCCCTTTGGCGAACTCAACAGTGATCTACCAGCAGCACATTTGCAGCACCGTGGTACCATACTGCCTAGTGATCCAAACTACCTTCTAATGGGCAATAAGACTGGCAAGCGGCTAGGCTAGTTCTCCAGTGCCCTGCTGTAGCTGATGAAGAACTGCATATGCGCATGCTCACCCGCCACTTGGCTGCGCAGTGCCAATGTCGGCTGCTTGTATGAAGTTTCGTAGGAACGGCATGTGCTGTAATTGAAGCACTCAACTGATCACACCAGTTTTTTTTCTATGTTGTTCTTCCCAATTCCTTTGACCGATTTAGATCGATGTAGCTACTGCATGCTGCTGGCACCAGCGTGGTGTTCAGACGCCCGCTGCACCTGAGCTATGTGCCCCCCGCTCATTTGTGCTGAGTGCTGCAATGGGTGAGGCAGCTGTAAGATTGGACTAGCAAGTTCCCCAGCATTTCAGAAAGGCCCAGCGCTGCGCATGGGCGTAGGGCGAAGCGGCGGCAACGCGCTGTGCCCGACGCGGCGGTGAGGAGGTAGACCCCCCGTGGCGCTCAGGCCCTCTCAAGAGCCCAATTGACACTCTGGCTGCCCTGATACATTCCTGTACGCATCCCCTGGCTGTCCCGGCAGGAGAGTGACCCGCAAGTTGAACGCAGTGAACCCCGTGGAATGCCGCGCTAGCCACGGCTCCTGCGCACCAGGATGCAGCGCTATGCCAAAGTGGAAGCGCTGGCCGATGGCCGTTTTGCACCTCTGCTGAAAGTCAAGTCGCTGGGCCGGGTGGAGCTGGGCACGTATGACACAGGTGTGTATCATCGGTCAGTTTCAGCGCATTTTGAGCCTAGCGCGCCGGTCGGCGCCACCCGCCACCCGCCACCCGCCACCGCCGCCGCTGGCCGCTCGCCTTCGACGCCTCACCTCCGATGCCCGACCTTTGACGCCTCGTCCCTGCAGCCCGCCTGGCCGCGGTGGCGTATGATGTGGCACGCTTGGTGTTCATCAATGAAAAGCGCCCCAGCACAAACCTGAGCATGGACCAGGGCACGCACCACCCTGCCGACGGATACCTGTGTGATGACGTGTTCAAGGCGCTGCTGGCCAACGGGACCAGCTTTGACGACGTGTGCGGCCTGCTGCGCAGCGGCGCGCTGGCAGATCAGTTTCTGTGCGCGCAGGACCGGCAGACGCGACACACTGGCAGCAACGAAAGTGGGGAGCGGCCCGCCGCCAGCCGCCAGGTATCCCAGCCCAAGGAGCGGCCGACGCAAGGCCGGTCGCTGGCCAAAGAGGAGCTGCAAGCGTGCCAGGCACCGCCACCACCACAGCAGCAGCAGCAGCAGCAGCAGCAGCAGCAGCCTGGACCCCTGCCCTCCACCTCCTCGCCGCAGGCGCCAGCACCTGCCGCCGCCGCCCCAGCCGCCATGCCCGGGGAGCCAGGCAGCGGGAAGAAGGTGGGCAGCCCGTCGCCGGGCAAGAAGAAGCCGATGCGCTGGCTTGAGTGGCCCACCAAGGGCGGCGGCCAGTTTGTGTCTTGCCTCAGCGACCGAGCGCTCAAGGCCAACATGACGCTGCCGGCGCGTATGAAGCGCGAGCTCTTCCAGGTGACTGCCAGCCCCTTCAGGGGAAGACCTGACCTGACAGGGAGGCTGTTGAGGACTGTGGTTGGGCACGACTGCCATGAGGCTGCAGCACCCTGAGCCTGGCTCCCGGCTGCCCTGCAGACCAGCGAGGCCACCGCCGAGGTTGCAGCTCACGACCTGCAGCATGGCAGCGCGCTGCGCTGGGGCTGGGAGGTGCGGGACTATGTGAAGGACGACCGCACCAGCACCTACATCCACGGCCTGGCACCCTTCTTCAAGCACTACAACGTGAGCACACGCCAAAGGCGGCCGGGGCAGCCGCCGATGCGCTGGGCCCGGAACAGGCAGGGTGCTGGCTGCCGCGCACCAGGCATGTTGGCATGCCGCTAAAGCTGCGTCGGCTGGTTGCGCGCTGCAGGCATCGGCTGGCGATGTGATGGTGGTGGTGGCGAGGTGAGGCTTCCTGAGTGTGGTGCCTCACATGAAGCAGATCTCTTCCCGCTTGCACCCAGCCAACCCGGTCTGCCTGCCCTGCCGTGAGTGTGCAGTGCGCCTGGCGCTGTGAAGACCACCATCTGGCGCAGCGACTCGCCGGTGAGCGCCCGCCTCCTGTTTGGGTCCATTGATGATGCTTGCCAGCATGCGCCCGACCTGCTCAACTGACGGCGGCCATGCGGGTGCCCTCCCCTGCCTCGTAACTGTGTGGCGCAGGATGCGCAGCAGTTCAAGGCCTTCCTCGAGACGCAGAGCAGCAAGCAGGGCGGGGGGACCGCCGGCGTCGGCAGCAAGAAGCGCCCTGCAGAGGCCGTGCCATTGCAGCAGGCCCCCGCCAAGGTGCCCAGGCCAGCACCAGCACCCAGTGTGGAGGCGGCGCTCAAGCCGGCTGCCCCTCGTGGCGGCAATGCAGCTGCACGTGCAGCGGGGTCAGGGCAGCAGCAGGCGTCTTTCACGCGTGACGTGCCACACCCTCCCAGCAGGAGCGGCAGCGGCCTGCCGCACGTGCAGAAGGAGCAGCAGAACGCACTGCCCCCGCACCCCCCGCAGCAGCAGCAGCAGCAGCAGCAGCCGAAGCAGGCGGCGGTGGTCGAAGCGTCAAAGCCTGCAAAGCCGCATGCCTCGCAGCAGCCATCGCCGCCGGTGCCGCCTCAGGCGCAGGCGCGGGTGCTGTCGGGGGAGCTGCTGGCGATGGCGGATGCAGGGATAGATGCCAGCCGACCCAGCGGCGGCGAGGATGACATCCTGCAGCTGAGCCCGTCGGGCCAGGTGGCACAGAGCCCCTACCGCAGCCAGCCGCTGCAGCCGGGCGCGTCTGCCACTGTGCCCATCAAACAGGAGGAGCAGCCCTCGCCGCCGCTGCAGCAGGAGCAGTCGCCCTCGGGTGCCGGCGGTGCTGGCGGAGCGCCCGCCGCCGCGGCCAGGGCTGAAGGAGGGGATGTGGGCAACGCAGCGGCCGCAGCAGTTGCTCACAGCCCCGCCCGCATGAGCTGTGCCGACGCCTCGCTTGGCCTGGCCTGCCAACAGCAGGCGGCTCCAGGCGCGCAGCTGGCAGCACCGGAAGTGGCAGCCGCGCAGCAGACGGGGTCCAAGGGAGCGGACATCCGGGACCTGCTGCCTGATGCCATGGTGCTGGCCAGCGATGAAGCTGGCGTGTATGTGGCCATGTCGCGCCTGCTGAGCCTCATCGCCGCCACGGGGCGGGTGCCGGCGGACGCGGTCAGCGCCTACCGCCGCTCCTTTGGGCAGCTTGAGCCGAGCGGGCGCCGCTGGTTTCATTACGACTCCCTCAAGCAGCTGTATGATGCCGCCGAGTGGGCAGACCTTCGCCAGTGGCTGAAGGCCGCGTAGCACGACGGGAGGCGGTGGCGGGCCTTCCTCGCCGGCATGTACTCGACCTGTACCCGTGACCAGGACCCAAAGAGCTCAGAGAGAAACTAGAGAGTGCTTTCTTTGTACACCTTTTTGATACAATGAATCCTGTCATTTCTATGCAATGCCTTTCTCTCTATCGCACATGAGGGCACTGTCGCCACGTGGCGCTGAGATGGCATTCTGAAACCCACACCGTGGCATGCTTTGAACTGGTTGAACTGGCACAGCTTGAATCATGCAGAGTTGCCTCAATTAGGACAAAGTAACAGCTCAGGAGGGACTCTGGCCCAGGACCAACCGGTGGCGCCAGCAGCTGGCGGGCGCCCGGGGCGATCGCCAATGCGACAGACAACCCCGATGGCAGACAACAGAACCTAACCCCAGCCCTCCGACCTGCTCCTGCAAATGTCGCCGATTGCGCCCATACAGCAATTGCGCAACAGCAGCTCGTCGACAGGCTGTAGCAGCAGCGAGCGCCCGCGATGAAGATCAGGAATGCAGTAACCCGCCGAGGGGTGGAAGGCGGCGGCGCGGTCGGCTTCCTCTGCGGCGTGGCGTGCACGCTGCTGCTGGTTTGGTGGCACCACAGGCACAGGTGGGTGGCCTGTGCATGCAGGCCACATCCATTGCCTGCTGCTCATCTGCTCCCCCAAAGCTGCTCAACTTTTCTCATGCTCCCCCAAAGCTGCTCATCTGTTCTCATCTGCTCCCTGCTGCTCATCTTGCTCCCCCAAAGCTGCTGAGTACCACTATGCGTGTCCTGCCGCAGCATGGTGTTCTTCGTGGATGCCGAGTCCCGCACGCTGCCTGGCACTGATCCTTCCAACGACGGCGAGGCGGCAGCCGATGTGGCACAGGTTCAGGAGCCGCCCGTGCCTCGCGCCATGCGCGCCGCCCCGCTGCCAGACCTGGACACCGTGCCGCACCTCATGGTCAGCTTCGGCAATGCGGCGTACTTCGAGCTGGCTCAAAATTGGGCTAAAACTGTGCAACAGATCGGTTCCCCGTTCCTCATCGCAGGTGGGACAAATTGATTTGTTAAGGTACTTCTTTTTGTTAAGCAGTTAAGCCTGCGGCAGTGCCTGCATGAGCGCCTGGGCTGGGCCCTGCCCCTGCTTGGCTGCAGCCCTTGACGAGGGCATGATGGCGCTGTGCCTGGAGAACCAGCTGCCCTGCTCCAAGATCGACCTGGGAAAAGATGTGCGAAGAGCGTGCTAATCTGAGGCCGCCCGCCCCCCGCCGCCTCGCCGCCGCCGCCGCCGTGCACCTGCTCCCGCCTCCACGCCCGCCGCTAAAATGCCTGCCCGGCGAAGCCTTCCTCATGCTCCCTGCCTGCGCCTGCCTGCCTGCCTGCCTGGCATGCAGGAGGCACACATCAACTTCCGAGACAACTTCCAGGCCTTCCGCGCCATGGGGGCCGTCAAGGTGCGCCCCCCCTGCCACACACACGCGCCTGCCACCCAGCTCCCTCCCCCGCTGGCCCCGGCCACCCCAACCAACACCAGCACCAAGCCGCGCCCTCCCCTGTCCTGCACACACCTCACACCTCCCCTCAAAACACACACACACACACACACACGCACGCAGGTGCGGTTTGTGCTGGACCTGCTGGAGCAGCACCCCGCGCTGCCGCTGGTGGTGGTGAGCGACACCGACGCCGTGTGGCTGCGCCCGCCCTGGACCTACTTCCAGCAGCGCCCCGCCGCCGAGTTCTTCTCCTCCTCCGACTGCCTCAGCCACCAGGTGAGCGCACGCCAGCATGTGTGTGTGTGGGGCGGGGGCGAGTGTGTAGATGGGTGGGCAGTGGGTGGGTGGACGCACCTGCATCTTGCGCCTAGCGCATGCAGGGCTGGCCTGGTCAGAGCCCGCCGCCGGCTGCAGGTGGAGGTGGAGTGGCGGCGGGACCACGGGCAGCCCAGATGTGGGCACGTGCCGGGCAACGGCGAGTGAGTTGCAGGGCTGGCTGGCTGGCTGCCTCCGGGCCGCCCAGAGCAAGCTTGCACAAGCCTGAGCTGCACGCGCGCCAGCCGGGGCCAGTGTGATGCACGGCCAGCGCCCAGCGGCCAGCGCTGCCCGCCGCCCCAACCAGCGCTCCCCCGCTCGCCGGCCGGCCCCTGGCCCACTTGCCGCAGCGGCCACGCCCTCAACACGGGCCTGTTTGCGGTGCGCAACACCGAGGGCGCCAAGGCGGCCATGCGGGCGTGGGCGGGCATGCTGGTTGACCCCGCCCAGGAGCGTGCCGACGACCCCATGCACCGCGAGATGGACGACCAGCTGGCGCTCAACACGATGTTTGAGGGGCAGGGGGGCAGCGTCAGCCTCAGCGCAGGTGGGCACGGGGGGCAGCAGGGCGTGTGCTCTGGTGTGTGTGCTCGCGGTGGCGTGGTTGGTTGGGAAGGGGGTTGCCGGGGGAGCGGCGGGGCCCGGCAGCGCCAGTCGCCATGTGCGCATGGGTGAGGGAGGCTGCCACCCTGCAGTAGGCAGCCCAGGGGTGGAAGGAAGTCGAGTCAGTGGGGCCTGTGCGGTCGCCACTGCCCAGACGCCTCTGCCCCAGCGGAGTTGTGCGCCCCCCCCCCCCC